ACAAATATGTGCAAATTGATTGGCGAAGTGTGTGACACCCCACAGGGGTTGCCTTTGATTCTATCGAAAATGATGCTCTCCATGGAGGAAGCCCTCGACGAGGTGCGGACACCTTCACAGAGCCACCTTTTCCAAGATGTTCACTTCGATCAGCAAGGCACCTGACACGCTTATAGAGTCGCCTATGATTCCATGGAAGATGATGCTCTCCATTCATAACCCATCCACCATGGAGGAAGCCCTTCACGAGGTGCTGACGTCCCCCACAGGGTCACTTTTCCCAGAATGTCCACTTCGATTGGCTAGACACGTAACATCCCTACATAGGTTACCTCTTATTCCATCGAAAATTATGCTCTCCATGAATGAACCATCCACCATGGAGGAAGCTCTTGACAAGGTGTGGACACTCCCTACGGGGTCACTTCTTCCAAGGATGTTCATTTTCATCGACAAGGAGTGTGAAACCCCCATAGGGGCCGCCTCTGATTCCATTGAAAATGATGCTCTCCATGGATGAACCAGAGGAAGCCCTTGACATAGATGTGCCACCACCCATATAAGGATGCCACCACCCATATAAGGATGTCAACATAGATGTGTCATCACCTTTGATTCAGCTTCATCACATCTACTTATATTCAGAGTCTTGCCTCTACATTAACTTCACCATAGTTGCTTATCTATTCAGAGTCTCGTATTTGCATTAGTTTCATCACAACTTCTTATATTCAGAGCATCGCTTCTACCCAAAAGTCTACACATTATATGATATCCATACTTGGACTCGGGGGACTAATATAATACTAGTATTTTAGTATCATTACATATTACTGCTAGCAAATACATTATATATTTGTTGCAAAGTATGTATGTCACGTTGCTACTAGCATGCATGATATTATTTTCATTACAACCAATACTATGCCATGTTATCTACGTTTTCATGTCATTATTAACAACATATAATCTGATATGATGCATGACAAGCTCTCTGCATAATTTATATGGGAGAAGTTCGATTTAATATCATTATTCACTTTATCTTCATGAGTAATTTGTGAAACACATGGATTCCAATTTATTTTATATATGTGTTGTGGAGATATTTTATATTATATTGCAGGTTGGTTTAGTCCATATTATAGATGAAATGCTACCAAAATTTTGAAAAATAATATGCAATATCTATCTTTCGTGGCAATCATAAGCCCTCACTTATTTAGGTTTGCACAGATATTTTCCAGGTAATTCGTAAGTCCTCATATGTTGGAGCGATTTATCACTTGTTGGAGTTGCTTGTATTT